AAGAAAAAAGATATCATCTATCTATTTCTTAAAAAAAATCTAAATAATAGACTTATTATATATTTCATCTATGAAGAAAGACAATTATATATTTTGTATGAAATTGACTAATGATTTGGATTTGCCTGTACATGATAATCAAGGGAAATGGGAATCAATGCTTATATTTATTTTCTTTTGGAGTCTCTTGAATCAATTTTAGTAATGTGATGCTTGTTGGAGAAGGCTGATCATGTATCAAATATAAATAAAATGTAATAAAAATAAATTAAAAATTAAATTACGCCTCACGCTTTTAGGCTCTCTTTCATGCTAAATTGAATATAGAATTCAATTTAAAATAAAATATGTATGATCATATCAAGTTTACCTAAATAACAAAGGTTGATGAATTTTTTGTTAAACTACCAAATCGGCCTTCAAAAAGCTCAACCACCTCAGCTTGATTGTTGCAAATCAAAGTTGTCCTGTGTAGCCTCTAATAGTGATCTATACTAATAAATTAGAAAATACTTCTTTAAGAATAAGCAATGCTATACCTTGACAATGTGCTAGCAAAGATGCGTTTCATAAACTCATAATCCACACAAAATTATGGGGTTGAACACAAAAAAAAAAAAATAAGTGAATGAAAAATTATTTTTTCTTCACACAAGAAGCGACAAGGCAAAAGGAATTTCTAATGTGTCGTTCTCTTAATTTTTCAACCGCTCTTTCTCATTTTGTTTAGAGGCTATAATAAGGAATTTATACCTTGGGTTAATTTTAAACCCTAATTACAAAACTATTTTGTAATTACTAATTAATCTAATAATTTGATTAAATAATTTAATTAAGTCCTTGTGAAGCCTAGTTAACTTAATTGTTTAATTTAATCAATTAGGCCTAATAACTTAATTAAACAATTTTAATCAACTAGGCCAAATGGCTTAATTAAACAATTTAATATATTAGGTCTAATGACTTAATTAAATAATTTAATTAATTAGGCACAACTTAATTATTTTTATCAAGTGCTTGAAAAGCTCATAACTTCTAATTTGATTAAGTCTAACTTAATCACCTCTCCTATTTGATTTTTAACTTTCATTTTAGGTATGTCACCCATTAAGCTTCTAACATGCTGGTAATGAACTCAATGTATAATTCTTAAGTTAAACTTAGAAATAGAAAAATTTAAACTACTTTAAATTTATCATTAATCAAGTTAACTACCTAAAGTTGATAGACCAAGATTGGGATCTAGCAATCCATCATGACCACCCAAATGTTAGAAGAGTCAAAATGGTTTGACTTAACCTTTTAGTAATCAGCCTTTCAGTGTAATTCATTCTCTCATCATATATCCCGGAGATGATAAGAGCATGGTATAGTGTCTATTCTTATTAATCTCTATATTCGTTCTTAAAGTTTGATCATCAGCTTTATAAAGACTTATGAAACTCCTTTCATAATCTTTAAGTTGCCTTGGCCAAGGATTTCAATAAACTAATATCAACTGAGAACAGTTAGGATATGTCTTTTGAATCACTTGGGGTGATGATTCCTATCTTGATTATTCATTTACCTTCACATGCTTCATGCTATACCTAAAAGCATTTTTTTTTAACGTCCTAGGTTAGACACTCGTAGAAATGAAATCAAAGCATAACATTCTACACATAAGATAGCTTGGTGTCTCAAGTCTAGGGAGCATTTACACAACTGAGACATGAGAAGTATTGCATAAAAACTTGAGTAAAATACCAAATGCACTCCTCAAGGCGAGTTAAGTTCAGTGAACTTGCTCTCCTAGGTAAGTACCTACATTCTAGTTTCAAGTATCTCTATACTTTTATTTATGAGATCAATTGCTTACTTATTAAGTAAGGAATACAGAATGTATTAGTCTTTAGGTATCATTGAGGCTGGACATCAATGATACATTGACTAGGAACATTTAGAGAGTATACTTTGATGCATAAGGATCTCATAACTACAACTTATTACAGTTCCTTTGCAACGCATTTAATCTCATAGACTTCATTTAATTAGACTTATAACTTGTTATAATTAATGCCTTATTGATGAAGAAAAACCTTCAATCATTCAATATGAATGGTATTATTATATGATTGGAATCAAGCCTTAAACAATTCTAATTGGCTACATGGCTCATCCCAATAATGCCTATACAGCTATACCTTTATTTTTTTCATAAGCCAATTCATTTTATTAATGACCAAAATTGACAATCATGGTCATAGCTTTATACAAGAGCTTAAATGTCCAACAACACCTAGCTTAGAAATACCAAACTCCCCTTGATATTTCATTCTACACAACCTGCGAAACATTGAGTTGCATTTGATAGCTACGAAAGCATAAATACAAGTAGTGAATTCCAATATCACACTTTGTTCTCCAAGTAGCACAAGCATAAATACCAAATATTTCAAGTAATGGATTTTGTAGGAATTTTTGTTCTAATCGAAAAAAAGAAACTAATGCATTCAGGAAATAAGGTAAAGTAATGACTTGCTTAATGACAAACCATTGAACACCATGGCCAAAACCCAAAAAGCCCCGAGAAAGAAACCTTGAACATGATAACCCACAATGGCAATTTGGTAGAGAAAAAAGAAAAAATGAAAGTATTCACTACTCAACAGACCTTGAAACAGAGGCGGTTGACAACAAGGAGGAAGATAGATGATGGTAAGAGGAGACGACAAAGTGCATTAAGCAGAGGAAGAAAGAAGGAAAAAACAAGGGGGAGTCGGGGAAGGGAGGATTGGGAGGTATGTTCTAATTTTTAGGGATTTAGATTTTATACAAAGAGGACAAATGAAGAATTGGGGGAAGGCTAGTAGGGGAAGAAAGAAGAGGGGTGAGGGATTAATGAAGCTTATTAATGGAATTCCCCCCTAATTTTTCGGTTGGTTTGATTAAGGGGAGGAGTGACCCCAGCAACTGAACTGCGATAGCCTAAGACCGTCAATCATAATCGACGCTAGCAACTGCCACTGAATAATCAAACCAGCAGTTGCAATTGTAGTCGATTCCAACTGGTGCTCTGTCCAAGCCTTAGCTGTTCACTATTTAAGGCTTTGTGTGATAGATTTTTGAGCACCAAAGGAATTAGAGGGGTGGGGCGGGGGATATCATGTTGTTGCAAAACCATTGGCCTTAGCTATGGCCACCAAATGAAGAAATTATATGATTAATATAATATTAATAAACAAGGCATTGGAAAAAATAATCTTGATATACAGAACTTTTTAACTAAAAAAAATGTAAAAAAACCAAGTGTATACATATTATCACTTATTCATTACGTCATAATTAAGAAAATTAAAAAAATTTATAATTATAAAATATAAATTATATAAATTTACTTGTGAAATTTAAAAATTACAATGTACCTAACTTATTTAGTTTCGTTGATATTCAATTTTGTAAGTGATTCTGTTTTCATTTTGATGTTTAAATTGTGTGATTCATCTCCTAAAAAAAATTAAGAATAAATTGCATTAGATATATGGTATAATCTTGATTGAGTTGGTGTAATAATTGATTGATAGGATGCCAAATGTAAGCAAGATCTTAGAAATACTTAGTTGAAATTCCATTTAATTATAGAATTAATGACAAGATTTGATTATAATCCTTTTGATGAAATTCTTAAAAGGATGGAATGTAATCTAAAATGAAAACCAAAATTAATAAGTTAATAGGACATGTTAATTAGATTCTATATGCAAAAATTAAAAAAAAAGTTTTAATATTTTATTTGATCCATGTTTGAAAAAATGTACTGTTTTTAATTAATGGTTGTCAAAATAGTTATTATTGTAATTGATCTATAGATTTTAAAGAAGTCATAAATTCCAAAAAAAATCTCTCAATTATTTAAAAAATTAAAAAAAATATTTTTTATTACATTTAATCAAATTCAAAAAAAAAATTAGAGACACTGTACTCGAGAACCTCAATGGTAATAGATATTGAACGCAACGGGGAGGAAGGCTGGCCAGGAGAGAAGAGGGAGACAAAGCCTTATGGGACAATCTGCAAGAAAGTTATTTGTTAATGGGGACACAATATTCAAATCTTTGCCCACATTTTTTCAAAGGTTCCAATATGCTTCAAGTTAAAACAATTATCACTATTTGAGATTGTGAATTTTTATTGGAGTTATTTTCTTTATACAAATGGTGAAGATATAAAAGTATATAGAATAATCATATGAAAATATCAAAAATACTTGTATGTTTGAGAGGGTATAATTAATTTTATAAAAAAATTCACTAAATCAATAGAAAATTTGTACTAATTCCAGGGTAAGCAAATTGCAATTTAGAAATAGGTAGATACTACCCCAAATTGAATGTTCAAATTTTGTTGACATGTAGGCACCAAGAAAACATTGTTGGACATGCATTTTACCAAAAAATAAACACCTCACTCTACTTTTTTTTACACCGAAGTTTTAATTTTTTTAATATTAGAACTTAATTAAAAATGTGAAAAAAGAAACAGTTCAATTGTGTATACAAGGATACGAATCTGAGATTCTAAAAATGAAAAATGAAATTATTTTTAAACAAAGGATTACAAAATGGACGAAAGAAAAAGCTCTCGAAATTAGTATGCGTAATGAAAAGTCGAAAAAAAATGAAATAACATAGCAATATACTAATATTTCCAATAGGGAACTTGAGACCAGGATCAATCAATTTCATCCTCATTTTATAATCAAATTTGAATGGCCAAAGTCAAAAAAGCCAGGCCAAATGACTAGACAAGGTTTGAATATGAAATGGCTATATAAAGAAAGTGCATATGCTTCACAATGGACAACTTAAGCATCAAAGTCAGCAGGTATCAGCAACTCAAGAAAGGTGAAGAAACAGAGTATAAGGCATGGGAAATGAAGCAGCAGTTGCTATTCATTCCTTTCCTCATTTGCTTATAATATTCCATCTGGTCAATGTAACAACAATATTTCTGTCATTTGTTTAACTCCATGAACAATATCCTTGCCAACATCTGCAATTATTTGTTCTGTTGTTGTACAAATCAGGCCGTGTTATAGGAAACAGAAGCCATGCAAAGGATATCATTCCAGCTACAACTGCCACGCTAACTAGCCCTAAAAATATAATGGACAAAATGGGTCAGCAAATTGCCTAGGTATACTAGTATACTATGAAAACGAACAAAAAAACAAACACTAGTGGGTCTGAAATCCGAATAGAAACTCTAATCACATACCTTTCCTCTGTACAAACAACACTGGCAATCCCATATAATTGCAAAATATATGGGCAACTAAAGGAGCAACAAGGTTCCCTGCCAAGAATTAATATAAGATGAATCAATGAGGCAAAAAAATACATAGTAATGAAACAACAAACTAACCCATGCTAGAGAACACACATCTTGTTTTAGATCTATGTAAGCAAAAAAGCAAATATCACAAGGAAATGAAGAACAATAACAACTGACTTTTCTGTACATGTGCTTCCAGGTTAATGCCATGTTGGATTGTACCCACAGTCAATACTAAGCATTTGCATCCACAGTTCACCATTTTTAACCATTCCAATTTACAAAAAGGTGAATTAGCAAATAAATGAACAAGAAAGCCTCGTGCAAACACACTAGCAAACCAGAAATGAAGCAGGACTACAAAGTACTTTAATGAAGAATTTATGAAAAAGATGATGACATTTATTAACAAGTAATCACCAACCTGTTCGAATGAAGAGAAATGAAGCATAGGAACCGAAGATCACAGTGTAGCCCAGCTGGAGACCTGAGAAACTTAGAATATTCCAATAAGCAAAGACATATTAGCATCTAGAAAACATCAAATATGATTCTTGTTCCTCAAACAAAGTTGTTAAAAATTTCAAGCCCTACAAAGTTTTCACTAGAAATAGAAAAACAAGCAATCCACTCTACAGTTATATATATTTTTTCCTTTAAAACAAAGTTTGAAGCTATTAATTGAAGGAGGAAAATCTAATTTTGTACCTACAACCATTGAGGCTTTAAGCAAGCTATAGTTTTGCCGGCTATAGATCTCCATCATATGGTTCAAATGAGCTGCAAGACATTGACAAAACAGATTAAAACAGTTTACATGCCATTCATCTCACAATGCAATGGGGCACATATGGGTAGCATGATGCTTGACAAATCCAATAAATGCACCAGCATCTGCAAGCATGAAGTATGAACACTTGAATGATAAGAGTTTGGCAGTGGATCTACTTTGTGCCAATCTTATCCCTTTAACTAATTCGAACTGTGGCAAAAACGTTAAATATAGATATTGACACAGTTATGACACCGTTAGATGTGTCCAAGCTTAGTAGAAGTAAAAAGACTTAATAGACACATTATAAGTACTTAACACCAGAAGAAAAATGATAATAAAAGCCTCTCTACATAAATGATCAAACTGTGTTTAAAAAAGAGGACTCACCTAAACTGAAGAAAGTAGGGCAGACAAAAACGACATTGTACGCTTTAAATCCCCCGCAAAGAAGTAAAGGAATCATACACGCTCTAAACACCAACTCCTCTGTTAATGGTGCCTGTTCATTAAAGTACTATTAAGGACCGAAGACTTAAGCAACAGGAAACTATTTCAATTTTTTCCTTCTAACTTTTAATATTGTTATTCTCCAAAGAAGGATAGTGAAATGTTCAACAATGAATGGAACACATAACATAAAAAACTCTCCATCACAAAAACTATTTCACAGAATAGAAAAGGCAAACTTCAACAATTTAAAAAGTATTGCATAAACATATCCTATTTACCTAATTATAAACCGTGCAATTATATGCATTCACCCCAAAGATGAAGAAATTCAATGGTGAGCATACTAACCACAACAAAATTTCGCCAGAATAAAACATTGGAAGCAACTGATGACATCTGGCTGGGGAAGCTTAGGACGGTACTTTTGATATAATCGAACAATGGCCTGCCATCTTGATTCCTATGCTGATTCCATTTATTCACCAATAAGATAGACTTGAGCATCAAAGATCCAACATACATAAGAGAAGTCAAGAAAAGAGGAAAGACCACCGCTTGCCACTGTTTCATACATAAAATTGCATTTCAGTCACCATTTCGAATCTGCAGATCATTCAAGAATTTAAATAATAAACCTGATAACTGCAGTGTGCAAAAAATTTGCTCCTAGACAGTAATTAATAAATTGGAGGAAAGAATGAAAAATTAATACACTTACAAGATGATCCGATCGAATGCCATAAACCCCAAATAAAAAAGATGCCTCCAGACTCCTTATCTAGCATAATCAAACAGGTTAAAATTCAGGTTAGAGGAAAAAGTAATAAACAAAATTGGATACAAAAAAATACTAATATTATTTTAAAAATGCAAAATGCATGATTTTACTTGTATTTGAAGCAATTTTGTTAGAATGGGTGCTAGAATTTAACCATTTGCTAATCTCTAATCATTTATGAGTTTATTTAGTTTTTTTTTTTTACTTTTTTAGCATTTTTTGAGCAAATTGCAAAAGAGTAAGCAACAAAAACTACAATCTAAGCGCAAATAAAAAAAACTGGAAGTGTTAAGTTAATAAATAAAGTGGATTATAGTTCATAGAGTGAAAGAATTTTCAACTTGGGGCAATAGATTAAAATATAAATGAGTGAACTGAAAATGGGAAACAAGGGAAGAGCAGAGGCTTACTGGAAGGATAAGAGGAACGAAGATAACGGACGCGACGGAAGAAACGGCGGCACAAACGAATCGTCGGATCATGAAATTCTTGAAGGACTGGGGAGGCGGAAGGCGGAGGATCAAAGTAGGAGCATAAAGGATAGCAACGTAAAACAATGTCATGGCGGTGCAGGCCATCACCGCCACTGGCTTTGATAAGCTCCCTTGGTTCTCTTCCATGATTGGATTACGGTGGCGGCAGCCTGGGGCGCGGGAGAGAGGAAGAGAGAATGGGAAATGTCAACTGCTTCCGGTTCGATGGTTTCGGGTTTTGACCTTGGGAGGACTGGGTGGGTCGGAATCTGGCGATTCTTGCTTGGGTGGTTTTTGGATTTTGGACCTTTATGTCTGGATTACTTTGCAGCGAAGCTCGCGGGCTCGGGTTAACGACATTTTGCCTTCCATTATAGTTTTGTTTTAAAATTTTAACACGAAATAATATTTAAATGAAAACAAGAAAGGAATAATGTTTACGAATTTAGAAGCATGGGGTTTGATATTTGTATTTCAAAATTTTTAATTGGAAGTTTTAAGATAAGAGGGATGCAATTTATATAATGAGAAAACACAACCTCTCTTTCAAACCTAATAAAGCTTTATATGTATAAATTTTGACTTAAATGCATTCAAAATTTCTTGAAGTATACATGATTTTTCAAATAAGTCTTTAACATTTTATTGTATTTAAACGAATTTTTAAATTTTTATTTCCAGTTATACATGATTTTAGAACAAACGAAAATACAACTATCCTTAATTCAAATGATCATTTTCATTTTTTACTCAAATGATTTCTTTCTTGGCATGCTACACCTAGTGAGTAAGATCATTAGCAATTTATTTAATTTAAAATAAAATTTAAAAATTTATTTAAATATAATAAAAATAAAAATTTATTTAAATATTAATTTATAGTTCATAAATTTTTTAAGATATTAAATCATAAAATTTCTTACTTTGGTTGTAGTATTTTTCTCTTTTTAATTTCATTTTAATATTATTTAAGTAATTGTTAATCCTTTAAATAGGTTAGAATCGAAATCATCACCTTTTCTTACAACTTCATCAATTTTAGAGAAAGAAACAATCTTTCTTAAATCATAACAATCAAATTCTACTTAACAGAAAAAGTAATTAAGACAACAATTATAATGTAGGGAGTAGTAATAGTTTGGCATAATGCTTTAAAAATCTCCTAAATTATTTTGGTATATTTAAATAAGTTTTAATTTTTTATTATGTTTAATTAAATTTTTATATTTTTATTTTGAATCAAATAAAACTGTATGACTAATTATTGATTTAATTAAAATACTATTTATTATTTTATGTCATATAGTATTAACATAACATGTTGATACAATATGATGACAAGACCATGTGGCATACTATCTTTCACATCAACATCACATAAATATAAAATGATAAATGACATTTTAACGAATAATAATTAATCAATCATTAATTTTAAAAATTTATTTAATAAAAAATATAAAAAATTAATTAAATATAATAAAAAAATAAAAATTTATTTAACTATTTTTGAATAATTCAAGAACTTTTCGAATAGTAAGTCTCATAGCTTCAAAGTACACATCTTTAATTCAAGTTATAAATACCATCTCTTGTAGTAAAAACAAAAAACGAAGTCTTGTTAAACACAAACAAGAATAACCTTGTTGGTCCTACAATCTTAAGGCTTAAGGACAAGTAGGGTCAAATAATCCAATCTAGACCTGCATTTACCTCTCAATTATCTTAAAGAAGAATCAGTATGGAAAAGGTATCCATTATTTTACTTTGGATTGATTTTTTCCCCTAATTTTGATTGATCAGTACAGGGAAAATGACATTTACTCATTTCAGCCAAAATTAAAAGAAAAAAAGAAGATAATAAATGAGAAATGTGCAACATTGTGATCTCGCTGGTCCAAAACGCATCACCCTACTAAGCCCCCGCCGTTCCCTTGATAAACAATCTCGAAAATACGTGCAAAAAGTCAAAAATACCCTTCATTTCACCGCAAAAAAGCCACTATAAGAAGCAAAGTGACGCACAGAAAATGAAAAAAGAATACAAAAAAAAATCCCTCTCTGCTTTCTTGCTTAGTACCCACAATCGAATCGCGGTGGCTTCAACAAAAATGACCAAAGAATTCTCGGTGCCACCGGTAGTCTTCCGCTCCGGCGGTGGAGTCAACCCTCCTGCCGGAAACGTTAACCAACGCCGCGTACCAACGGCTCCTTTCCAACCCTCACGCCCTCCATCCTCCTCCTCTTCCGCCATACCTTTCATGTCCTTCGACATCGGCTCCGCAGCGTCATCGTCCGGACCCTTCGGCGGCACAATCTCCACCTCAGCAGCATCCGGATCCGCCTCTTTCGACGACGAAGAACCCCTCCTCGACGAACTCGGCATCCATCCGGACCAAATCTGGCACAAAACAAAATCCATCCTCAACCCTTTCCGGGTCAACCCGACGGCCCACAAAGACTCGGACCTATCCGGCCCAATCTTCCTCTACTTATCCCTCTGCTTATTCCAACTCCTCGCCGGCAAGATCCAATTCGGCGTAATCCTCGGCTGGATCGTCGTCTCCTCGATTTTCCTCTATATAGTTTTCAATATGTTAGCGGGACGCAACGGCAACCTGGATCTGCACACGTGTACGAGTGTGGTTGGTTATTGTATGTTACCGGTGGTGATCTTATCAGCCGCGTCGCTTTTTATTCCGCAAGGGAGCAGCGTCCCTAGGTATGCATTGGCGGGAGTTTTTGTTGTGTGGGCCACTAGGGCTTGCACCAATTTAATGGTGACGCTTGCTGATGGAGGTGAAGAACATCGTGGCCTTATTGCGTACGCTTGTTTCTTGATCTACACTTTGTTTTCGCTTCTTGTTATATTTTAATTGAAGTCCAATTTCTTTTATTTTCTTTTCTCTTTAGAGTTAGTTTCTCAGTGGATGATATGAATGTAAAAGGGTTTTTTTTTTGTTGAATTTCGATAGCTACAATGTTGAATGGAACTAAAATTTAGCAGAATTGTGCTTTCTTTTTTTTTAAAATTTTTTTTTTTACTTCTAGCTGCTTTTCGTGATCTAGTAAAACTCTTTAATTATTTTTTGATTGGAATATGAACTTGTTTGCAATTTTTCATGAACTGAAATAGGATTTACCTTCTTTGTGATTTGTTCGCATGAATATTACTTTTAATTCATGATCAAACCCAATCCTCGTTATGCTTTCTTTTATGATTCTGTTTAATTGGATACTATCTTGTTGGAGGTGGTGTGGCTGTTGGGGTTATTGGCACTCTTCAAAACAACTATTTATTCATCAAAGCAAAGAATTAAGGAAGCCAGGAGAAAACTTTCTATTTGGGCCTGAGGAAAAGAGTGTTTTTTGCTGCACACCTTGATTGTCTTGAGAATGCTTTTATTATATCTTTTTACAGTTTTAGAGGCTAGATGAGCTTAGTTTTGGAGAGGCTTGGAGGATTTAAGAGCTCTGTGCCTTGAACATGTAGTAAAACTTTCTCTTTTATAAAATGCTGAATGTTGTTTTTAGCTTATTTGGTTGGTGTCAAGGTTAGTAGGCTGCTCAACTTGAAGCCATTGACAATTTAGATATAGGTGCACTTTGACATTTGCAGTCTGTAAACTAGTACTTGAATTTACTTCTTATTCGTGCCTATCAGTAAGATGTTGTCATAGTGCTTTTATAGGTTTTGAATCTTTGATTAATGATCTTGCAAGATGATGATTGTGAATGAGGTATGGAAATGCTATATAATTATATAAAATATCAATTAACTTTGTTGGAGGCTGTAAGCCTGTAAACATTTCAAATTGGAAAAAAGATGTTGGATAGGATGATGCTCTATTTGATTTTCTATAGGATTTAAGACAAAAGGTTGTAAACTAGGTTTCTATCATAGGCATTGGGTGGAATAGGATAACTTCTAAATTCTAAAGGTTCCTTTCAAAACTGCTTTATGCTTTTATTCATCTTTTCCATTTGAAAGATAGTCCCTCTTGTTCGGTATATGCTCTTTCCCCAATGGATTAGAACTGCAATTTTTTTTAAACTGCATTCTTTCTGAAGGTGAGATGTGTAAATACTTGATTGCTATTTTAATTTACACTCTATCTTGCAAGAGGAAAACTCTTATATTCCTTTTCATTTTAGGTTAAAATTTTGTTGATTTGTTGTTTAGTTCACTATGTTAAGAGTCAGGAGATGTAGATTTTTATTTCACACTTTTCAGCAACAAAGGGTCCTAGGGTCTTTAGAAGTCATAGTTGAAACTTCATAGAGCACTTTATTTTGACCTATTTTGAAAATTAGCAATTAAGAGCTTGTCAGAGAGAACTTTTCGATCTCATAATTGGAAATTTGATTAGAAATAATGCTTACTTTATTTCTCTTTATAATTTTTTTTAAACTAGATTACAAGCATGATTGATCATGATTGATTCTTATTAAAAAGCAACTACCTCTTATTAAAAAACAATTGACTCCAACTATTTAGGAACTTGTAGATAATGAAAAACTAGTTCCACAATAATTTAAAAATAGAATGATAGATAATGTAAAATTGACTCCACAATAATTTAACTTAGAATAATAGTTAATATATTAATTGACAGTTAATCTTTTTTTTTTCATGTGTGAAATATTTGTAAACCTGGTCAAAAGGAACCATTTTAATTAAGCTAGGCTCACTTAGTTGCTGGTCATGTTGTTGGCCCTTAACATTACTTTCCCCATCAAGAATGCATTTGACCTTAAGCGTAAAAGATGGATAGCAACTCAAAATAGTAAAAACAAGCTCCCGTGATGCCTCAGTTGGTGAAAGGCCTTCCTAGTGAATAAGGACTTGTGAAGTGCCTGCAAGAGTGCGTGAGTTTAAGATGGCTTTAGGTGTGGTTGTACTTCACCTTTGTGAATTACAAGCAACTGTAGTGTACTGGTGTTGGGGCCATGGAATTTCTTTAAATAGGATACATGAAATATTGAGTGTATTTTGGTTTTTGGTGGAAGGGAGAGGCTATAAGCCATAAAACCAATTGTAGTTGAGATAGGAAAGGGGCCATAGAAACAGGGAGATAATTTGTGATTACTTTTGGAGGCAAGGGACACTAGGCGATAAGGTTGAAGTTTTAAAAGGACCATATCACCTTCTTCAGAGTAGATTTCTCAATGTTGAGCGTCGTATGCATTCTTTATGCCTGTTTGAGCTTGTAAGAGATGTTCTCGCAAATCGTGCAAAAGCAGGTTACTGTTCTGCAATTCAATATCAACAATTGCCTCTCGTGCGAGGCTTGGAGAATAAAAGAGCAAGCGAGGTGGGGAATGGCTATAAACTACTTCAAAGGGAGTGGTTTTCAAAGAAAAATGGTAACGAGTGTTGTAGCAATATTGAGCCCAAGATACCTAATCTATCCATCAGTGTGAACAGTCTCCTGTAAAAATCGAAGATACATCTCGATAACACTGTTAATTGTTTTTGTTTGCTTGTCACTTTGAGGGTGATAGGTTGTACTGAATGATAATTTAAAGCCACTCAACTTGAATAGCCTAGACTAGAAGGAACTTGTGAATGTGATGTCTCGGTCATTGACAATTGAGCCACTGTGATAGCTAAATAGGGGTGCACTAGAGGTAGGAAGTATGCTTATTTTGAGGAATGATTTATCACTACCAATAAGACAGTCTTTCCATTTGAGGGGGAAGTCCATCTATGAAATCCATGGAAATATCTGACCATACTTGTGTAGAAATTGGGAGAGGTCCCAATAGCCCTACAAGTTATAAGTGGTCTGACTTATTCCTTAGGTAAATTTCACTAGTTCTGACTATGTCTTGAACTTGACGCTCCATTCCTGTCCAGTAAAAATTTGTTGAAACCCGTTGGAGAGTTTTTTGATACCATTCATGGCATTAAGCATGGATTATTGAAATTATTCCTTGAAGAAGGGAAGAAGAAGTTGGTAGATAAACCTTGTTCTTGAAAAAGATTAGCTTGTCACGATATGTCTAATGTTTGCCTTCTTTACCTATGGTGATATGTCCCATAAATTGTAACTCTTGTGAGTTGGAAATTTTGCTTGGATTGCATCAAAGAATCCCAATTGAGGTATTGAGATTGATGTTAGGGTTCCCACATCTTTATCTTTACAGGATAGTGTATCAGCAACCACATTTTCTCGCCCAGCTCGATATTCTACTTTGAAAGCTTATTACCTTGTTAACCCAATGTTTTTGTAAAGGTAATAATGCGTTGCTCCAAGAGGAACTTGAAGCTGCAATGGTCTGTTCGTATTAGGAAAGGCCATCCTCACACGTAGGACTTCCAATGGCGCATGGCTTTAGCTAAGTTAATCAACATGTAGATGTTGGTGACGTTTGGCTAGTGTACGACTAAAGAAAGCAAGTGCTCGACCTTCCTACTGTAGGATAGCTCCTATTCCATAATTTGAGGCATCGCATTCTACTACAAAATTCTTTTCAAAATTTGGAAAGGTTAAACTAGCATTTTGGTCATGGCCAGTTTTAAAGCGTCAAAAATAACCAATGAGTCTTTGAGTCTAAACAATGGAATTCTTTCGTAGCATAGCTGTCAACGGGTCAACAATTTCTCCATAATTTTTCATGAATTTTCTATAATAACTCGTGAAACCAAGGAAGTCTCGTAATGCTTGAATGGTATTTGGTTGTGGCCATTGAAGCATTGCTGCCACCTTTTGAAGGTTTGCTTTCACTCCACAAGATGAAATCACATGCCCCAAGTAAGAGACTTGAGTTTCTGCAAATAAATATTTAGAGTGTTTTAAGAACAAGCAATGTTGTCTCAATAAGGTGAACACAATTCAAAGATGTTGGATATGTTCTGCGTAGGTACCACTATAAATTAGTATGTCGTCGAAGAATATCAAGGCGAACTTGTGCAGGAATTGTTTGAATACATCATTCATGAGGGTTTGGAAAGTGGAAATAGCATTGGTGAGGTCGAAAGACATGACTAGAAATTTGAAGTGGCCATGGTGAGTGCGAAAAGCCGTCTTGTTTACATTTGTCTCACGCATCCTGACTTGGTGATACTTATAGCATAAATCTAATTTTGTGAAATAGTGAGCCTCATGTAATTCCTTCAGTAGTTCGTCGATTATTGGAATTGAAAATTTATCTTTGATAGTCAGGGCATTCAGGGCGTGATAATTGACAACGAACCTCCTAGAATTGTTTGCCTTTTTAACCAAGAAAACTGGAGAAGGGAAAAGGGATTGACTAGGGTGGATAATCTTCTTTGTAGCATCTCTTCACATGGTTTTTTGATCTCATCCTTTTGCCCATAAAGATAACAGTAAAGGCGGACTGCTACAAGCCTTACTTTTAGTTGGAGAATAATTAAATGATCACATTGATGAGAAGGAAGTAGCCTTTTTAGTGTTTTAAACAAGTTGGAATTTTGTAAAGATTCTTTTAAGCTCTAATTCCCTATCCACCTCAACTAGTATGGTTGAAAAAGTTGTAAATAAATTGAAGTTCTTAATTCCATACAACTCTACCCTTCGGTTTTTCCACCAAAATTGCATTTTCATAGTCTCAATAAATAAGATTAAGCGTCTTTAGCTAAATCACATTTAATGTCACGAATTACGCTCTTTTGTTGAAGTATGTGATAGTCCGTGCGGCGCTTGAGTGGACACTTCCACGTAAGTCAATTAATAACTCGTTTGTATCTTAACATCAACAATAGTTACAAATTAGATTAAGGCAATATACATTGAAATTATAGGGCATATCGAATGTCATATATATAACCATTGGAATCACATAAAGAAAAAAGTTTTATTAATATAAAAATGAGTACAAAGGGATCAAGACACGCTGTTGTTGGGCCATAAGGACAACCTTAGATGATTTGCTATAAATATACTTTTACCAGTGAGGTGCCTAACAATCTGTCGACTGCTCATCTCTATAAAGAGTTTACGAGGACTTACAAATATGGCATCAATAGTCATTACAATGTGTGAGATGGGGACAGTCCCTTT